GTACCCTACCATCCCCCCTGCCACAGAGCACACCAGGGAAGCACAATGGGTTTCCTCTTTCCTGAGCCCTCCTATTTCTTTCCCCTTGCTTTTGGTAGTCATGGATGGCAGTTCCTTGAGAGGCTTCTCAGTCTCTCTGCCTCCTCTGGCTGTGGTCCCCAGCTCCATGCTGTCACGCCAACAGCCATGCTTAGTGCCATCCTTTGACTTGAGGACCAGACCCCAAGCAGCTCCCAGCTGCATCTGCTGTACAGCACATCTTCCTCCCCTTCCCAAGGCAGCACTGCTTGGCTGTCATCGAAGCACTGTGTGTGGCCAAGCTGGTGTCTGCTCTACAATGAGATGCTGGCACTGCTCACAGAGGGTTCCTTCTCCCCTGGCATGTGTCTTCCAATGTACATCCTTGGCCTTGGAGTTCACATGTAGAGGCCCCCAGTGTCTTAGAACCTTTTTGAGCCACCGTGCAGGTACAAGCACAGCCCTGGTCATCATGGTACAGCTGCTGGAAAAGCAAAGCTGTGAGCACCACTGTAACCCTGCAGCACCAACATCCACTGCCCCTGCCCTGCAGCCTGGTTGTGGCATGGCAGAGCAGGGACCAATGCTTGCATTACCAGTTTCCTGCTCCACCTAGCCCCTGGCCCCTCGACCTCCCCACTTACCTGTTCTGTGACCCCCTGCCTGGGCTGCAGGCAGCAGGCAGCTCTAGCACAAAGCAGTTCATGGTGATGCGGTCAGCCAGCACAGCCACGTCCGTGTCACTGCAGTGCCTTGCCCTGTGGAGGCAACGTGCCAGCCTGCAGGCACAGGAGAGCATGTGTCACCAGGTGCTGGCCGGGGCAGGCATCCCACCTCCTCGGATCCCCAGCTGTATGCACACAGTGCCCTTTTCCTCCTGGACTCACACCTGTGTGTGCAGTTGCAGTGGAGGAGCGTCCGGCTGTCCGCATTGTGCAGCTGGTACTTCACTTCATGGGGTGCAATCTGGTGGTCACACTTAGCCAGGTGCTTGTTGCACCTGCACCCCCTGCCCGGGCCTGAGGAGAGTGGGGAGGTAATGGGCACACCCAGCACATGACTCCACCAGCCTGAGGCCTTGAGCCACCCCAGCTGCACTATGCACATGCTGCCCACAGTACCAGCTCACCCTGCTGCCTGCGCCCCTTCACAGCTGGCACGGGGGTGGCTCCACACTGCACTGTGGCTGGGCTGGGTCCAAGGCTGCCATACCAAGGATATGCTGAGATTCCAGCTCCTTGCTCTGCTCCAACTGAATCCTGTCCTGACATTGTCAATGCTGTTGCACGGCCAGGCTCTAGCCCCCACTGCACTGCTGGGTGCCTGGTTGCGAGCTCAGCCTTGTCCCTGGCAAATGCAGGGGTACCTGGGCCCTGTGGTTGCTGGGCTGTCTTAGGTCTTCGTGACCGGTGCCGCCCAGGCTTTGTCTTCAGTTCCTGTCGGAACCGTTTACGCCCTGTTCTAGAGAAATTCCTTCCCTTGCCCGAGGGCTGCACAGTGGGTCTGCCCCTCTCCTCTGCTGGTAGGCTGGGGTGGTAGTGATTCTGCTTCACCATCCTGGCCAGAGGCACTACTCCATAACGCTCGCACCTGGGGACACCGCGTGCTGTGAGGTCGTGCACACCATGCCAAGCCAGTGCCCGAGGGGGCAGCCGTGCAGGCACGCTGAGGGCCGGGCACCCCGGGAACTCACCCGCCCCACCAGTACCACTGGATGCACTCCTCACTCTCTTCCAGCACAAAGCACGGCGCCTCCAAGAGGTTGAAGAATGTGACGCCGATGATGTTGGAGACGGTGTCGTTGACGGCGAGTAGGCACCGCCGGAACCTGCGGGCAGGGAACCGGTGAGGAGGGTGGGCTCCCCGGGCCTCCCGTTTCCTCACGCCCCGGGCTCACCTGGCGTCGCAGTCGCAGTGGGACACGGTGTGCAGGCGGTAGTTGCGGATGCCGTAGTTGAACTGCAGCGCCGTGATCTGCGCCCAGCACTGGTCGTGCTCCCGGCAGCACTGGTCGGGGCCGCGGAAGAGCCCTGCGGAGGCGGCGGTGAGCGCGGCCCCGCGGGGGGAGACGGGGCGCTCCCGCCGCCCCCCGCCGCTCCCTACCCAGCTCGCTCCAGTTCCCCGCCGAGTTCCCCGCGCCGCACCACAGCGTTCCCGGCAGCGTCCAGCCCCGGCGGCGGCGGCGTTGCGGTCCCGCCGGCACGGGGTCGGTGCAGGCGGCACGACGCCGCCACAGCACGGACAGGGCCCGGCGCAGCGCGGCCCCGGGCGCGGCAGGCGGCTGTTGCGCGCAGGCGGCGCGGAAGGCGCGAGCGAGGAGCGGATCGCGGCGGGTCCAGCAGGCGCGGAGGCGGCCCGGGGCAGCCCAGACGCTCTCGACCAGCGCGGGTCCGGTGCCGGTGCCGGCAGTCAGGAGCGCCACGTACCGCGCGCCGCCCGCGCCCGCCGCCTCCCGCGCGCACGCGGCCCCGCCGAGCCAAGCGCGCGCGCATGTGCAAAGCGCCGCGCAGGCCAGAACCGCGCGCGCCCACATCCCGCGCACCGGCCCGCCCCCCGCTCCGCTCCCCCTTTTAACTCCGCGCCCCACAGCGAGCCCAGCGCTGATTGGTCCGCGCCGCGCAGGCCCCGCCCCGCCCCGCCCCGCCCCGGGACAGAGCGGCGGGACCCAGCCGGGGACCCCAGCCCTGGCTCCTCCTCATCCCGGGCACCCCATCTCGGTACCACCATCCTGGGCACCCCCCCATCCCAGTACCACCCCATCCCGGGCACCCCATCCCGGCACCCCCATCCTGGCACCCCCCATCCCGGCACCCCCATCCCGGGCACCCCCATCCCGGTACCACCATCCCGGGCACTCCCATCCTGGCACTCCCCATCCTGGGCACCGCCTGCTACACACACCCCACCCCACGCACTCTCTCCCTGGGCACTCATGAGTGTGCTCTCATGTGCAGGACTCTGGATGCAGGTGTGTGTGCAGCTGTGCATAGGTGCCTGCACACTCACCTTGAGCACACGTATACACACGTGTGTGAGTGTATGGCCATGTGCCATGTGTGCCCAACCATGTGTGTGCCCCGCACAGGCTGTAGCCATATCCCTGCTCAAGTGTTCACTGTGTGCAGTCAGGAACAGAGCATTGTCCTGTCCAGCCTCTGCAGAAGCTGCCCACAGCCCAGGATCACACCTGTTTGAGAGTTGAGGATTGTTGAGGATGGAGCCACCACAGCCCCCCAGGGCAACTCCTGCTGTGACCTGTACTAAGGCCTGACCCTCACAGTACAAAGGTGTTGATATTCAAAGGAACCTCCCATACCCCAGTTTGTGCTTATTGCATTTTGTTCCAGTACTGGGCATCACTGGGAAGAGATGAACTCTTGTCTCTTTGCACCCTCCTTGCCTGTGTATTAGCAGGATTCTGCAAAATTCCTCTGCTCCAGCCTCAGCAGACCCCGCTCCTGCAGCCACCCCACACAGTACAGGTAGTCCAGTCACTCCACCACCATCACAGCACTTTGCTGAACTCACCCCAGCATATCTGATTATCCCAGGTAATCCCAGCTGGAGCTGCATGGCCTCCCCATTGGTGCTCCCTGCCCAGCTTTGCCTGGTGCCATGAGGACACATCCCTGGCTTCTGCTTAGCTGGTGCCCAGCAGGATACCAAGGTCCATCCCTGCAGAGCTGCTTTCCAGCTGGTGGCACAACTTACGCTGGTACAATATCCCCCTGGGAATCAGGATCTCTCTACCCTGGAAATACCTTGGGAGGGTAGCTGGGCTGTGGGGCAGAGCTTCACGTGTCCCAGAGCCCCACTGGCCCAGGGAAGTGTTGTTCAGGGTGGCCTGTGTGTCTGGGAATCCTGCTGCATCCCAAAAGGATGCTGGCCCTGCTCTGGAGAATTGGCCCACTGAAGTCCAAATGCACCTCTCTACCTGAAGCGGGGAGGGAGGGAGGGAGGTAGGGAGGGAGGGAGGGAGGTTCCTCTGGTATGTTTTTTTCTTCCAGGGCTAGTCTGGAGTCATGTCTGTCCAGGCTGATGCTCTGCCCTGCTGGGGTTCGGGGAGAAGGTCTGTGGATCCCCATGTGCCCTAACCCTAACTGGGAGACACTGGGGCCTGATGGATGGGGCTTGGCAGTGTGGGCTTACCTTATCAGGATTTCCCTGACAGCAATGCACTCCAGACAGGGCAGAGTTCATCCTGTGGCTGTGATAGGTCTGCCATGCGCCACCCATGACATCACCCCATGTGTCACAAAGGTTTCCTGTATCCTGGGAGCTGTGTTCATGAAGCTGGATGAGGGCTGGCAGGACTGGCATGCCAAGGCTGTGGAAGGGCTCTGCGCAGGGATACCCCAGATGTGGGAGAACCAGCCTTCCACCCATAGGGATCCAGAGAGCCCTCCTGAACACTGTGCTGTGCTCATGTCCCAGTGCCCCTAGGACCGCCTAATGCGTGCTTTGTGCCCCATCATGTCCAGCACCCTGGGGCTGCCCTGTGCCTGGGCTGTGTTGGCAGCCCTGTGGGGCCCCACAGGGAGGGATTCCTGGGGCAGCACAGGACAGCCTTGGCTGACAAGTGGATGACTGCTTGAGAGACAGAAAACTCAGTTTAGGTTTGTCTGGAAGATAACAGGGGATAAGGAGGGATGCCTAATGCTCTGGCCTTCACCACCCAAGCAGCCAGTGGGTTACAGGGCTGGCCCTGCAGCAGATCTCCCCACTGTGTAATCATGCAGCTGCTGCCAGCTGCTGGCACAAGGTTGGTGTCTGGCTGGACAGTGAGGATGTGGGGCTGAACCCCGGACTACCCAACCCAACAGGCAGCACTGCCAACCCTGCACCCAGCTCCACTGACGTGGCTCAAGGCTGTAGACAAGGCCAGTGTGCGGCTGAGCTCCCAAGGACACAGGGCTGACCCTGAGTGGGGGAGCACTGAGCTCTGCTGAAGATGCCAGTACTCGTGGTCCATGCAGTGAGGGTGGAGAGTAGTCCCAGCCTGGGTCAGCAGGAGGGCAGATATGGGCTGGTGAAGCAATTCTTTCACCCCTTCTTCTGCACGCCGTGCTCCATTTGGGACTCCCCAGTACAAGAAAGATCCCATACTGGAGTGAGGCTGGTAAAGGCTGCTGAACTGGTCAGGACTAGAGCTAGGCTTACTTGGGCTGAAGAAGAGCAGAAATCAGACTTTATCTGCCCTGAACTCTGAGTCATGGCAGGACTCATTTCTTCTCCTTTTGCACTCTCCAGGCCAGCATGGGCATTGGGGTGATGCCTCCTATGGAGACATCTTGCAGGCAGCTGCTGGATGACCAGACTGTGTAAGTGGCTGTCAGATCTGGGACCTTATCCATGTCTCAGTATCCCCATGTCCAGCCTTGCCTTTTGTGCCAGCCAGCAGCACTGGCATATTGTATGTGCGTCACACATGGTGCTCGCCTGCTCGTGTCACCTGGGGACGGGCACCCTTGGAGGAGACACACAGCTCTGCCTCCTGGAAAAGGAATTGCTGCAGCAGAGATAAGCTTCTCTGCTTTTTACTGATCTAAGCTGGAACTTAGAGCTTTGTGAAAGGAAGCAATAGAGCATCCAGGGCATCCATGGCTCTGAACATGAAAGGCAGAACAGGGAAAAAACTTCACAAGAGAAGATGTCTTGTGAAGGTTGGAAGACACAATTCAAGCTGTAATGAGAAAAGGAATGGTGCAGTAATTTCACACCTCAGTTGATTATCAGTTCAAGTACTTTGCAGACCCAGGGAGACCCTTGAGGGCTCCTTTGGACTCTGGCATGTCCACAAGTCCACAAGGACCCATAAGTCCCTCCACCCCATGTTGGTTGGTGGGCACTCCCCAGGCCAGCAGCCAACACAGCCACCACCTGTCTGCATAGGAGAGCCTGGGTCAAGCTGTGGCCCCATGTGACATCTTTGTCCCATCTGGATCCCATCCTTTGGCACCAAGACCCCACACCAGTGCCACCCTATCACACTTGCATGACTTGGGACTGTCATCACACAGCAGCCAGAAGTGCCCCAGCCTGCTGCATCAGGCTACTCAGGCTTTCCATCAGCCTGATAGAGATGTGGGCACTGGGATGTGGTGGGAGACCGTCTCTTTTTGCTGATTTTGTGACATTTGCCTGCTTCCTGGCTACCCTGTGGTGGGCTTAACTCACCTGCACCTTGCAGTCCTGGCTCTAGGGAGAGCACTGGTTCAGGCTGGGGTGGCACTTGTGCCCATGGATGCACATGCCACCCTGGGCAAAGACAGCCCATGTGCCTGGCCCTAGGCTCAGGGAAGGCTGTGCTGGTTGTCATCATGTAGCATCTGCCCAGAGGTCTTCAAGAAAAGAGCCATCCCTCTAGGATATATTGTGTAATTTTATAGGGGGAAGAGACTCTTGCCAGATTCTCATTCCAGAAGCAGAGCTGGCTTCATCAGCTATTTTCAGTGTGAGGCTGGGCTGTAGGGACAATGGAGGTCGTCAGGCTCTGCACATCTGCAGGTCCTGCAGCTCAAAGGAGGCATCTCCTGCTCTGGGTCTTCAGCCACAGCTGCAGCCTCCTCAAGGTCTTTTCCAAGAGTCATAGAGCACCCTGAAGGCCCTGGGCAGCCTTGTTTGGGTGACCCTGCTTGAGCCAGGGACTAGAGAACCTCCACCCTCAGCAAGGAGGTTCCAGCAGTATTTGCCTTGCTTCCAGCAGTAAATAACCAGCCTTGCCTACAGGAAAATACAGAAAGCCCCAAGACTTAAGGTACACAAAGAAAACCACCCCCAATCCACTACAAGGTATAGATGTTCCTTGTAAGAGGATGGTACTTTCCTCCTACTGATAATAGGAAGAAATTCTTACAATTTTCTGTTTTCCCTTCATCCCTAGGCATTTCCTCATGCCACTGTGATCTTGGGACCACCTGGTTTTACTGCCCTGGTGAACACATCCCTATAAATTATGGAAACTACCCAGGAGGAAGCAACTCTGCAAGGAGTAGTACCTGACTGGTGCATATCACTGTACTCCAGGTGAAGGTCAGGTAAGTGATGAATCAGCAGGAGCTGGGTTTACCAAGACCAGGAGGAGCAGCTTAGAGTAGGGACCCCCTTCCCAGCATGCATGGGGGCTTGGCAGGAGCTGTGGGCTGGCATGCTGGGGAGAAAAAAGTTCATGGGGTTGAGGCATTTCTGGAAAGCACAGTTGCTTTTCTTTCAATGCCCAAGGAAAACTGGGCTGGAATTATCATCTCTTTGGAAATGAGATGAAAGGACCAAAGCAGCTTGACAAGAGAAAAAATTCCCACATGCTTCAGATTTCCTTCCCATTGTGTGCAACAGATGTGACAAATGATGGGAAGGTTTGGGTGCCTACAACAGGAGGTGTGTATAGCACTGGGTGAATAATTTACTGCAAAGTCAGGCGAACAAGCCACAGCACGTGTGTGCTTGTTACTCCCAGGTGGCAGAGCAGGGCCCTGCATGCAACCAGCTCCACCCCAAGCACCCCATGGGGACTGGCAGGGCTGCAGCCTGTGCATCCTAGCCTGCAACATCCACACCACGTCCACATCATTGTATGGCTCAGCAAAGGGGTATGAATGCAGGACAAGCTTAAAAACTTGAGGATTCCTCCTTGAACTCTACATATCTCCCAGTAAAGCTAGTTTCCCTGGTTTTGGTAAAGGAAGCAGCCAATTTCAGATGGCCTTGGGCCCCAGAGAATCTCTCCTTCCCACTGGAGCTGAGTCTGGTGCAACTGAGTCTGGGCTTCTCCTGGCTCAGTCCAATGAAATTGCTGTCCTGGCTCTAATTTGTAGTCCAGCCTAGACACAAGGCAGGAATCCCAGCAATTTTTATGGAGGGCAAGCATCAGGAACAGTCACACCACAGAACCTCTGCAGATGTTGGCCAGCAGCAGGATGAGGCCAGCTGTGTCCCAGGCTGTTAAAAGTTGCCAGCAGTAACAAAGAAGGGCAGTTACACAGAGCAGCAATTCATGGAGTGAGTCCTAGAGACACGGCACGCTGCTGACACAAGGGATTCTGCAAAGGAGACTGGGAGCTTCCTTGTCCTCTGGCCAAAGATGGTAGCCTTGGCCTGTTCTGCTGTTGTCACGACCCACTGGTCAGAGGAATGATGTTCAGCATAAATCCTCACCAGGCTGAACAAAGCCACTGGACACATGTCAGGAACTCCTATGTTTCATTGTACAGTCACTGTAACTCTGGCAACCAGCCCACTGCTTAGACTCAAAAGATGTTGGCCAACAAGCCTGTAAATTCTTATAATACACTTCCACAAGGTCTAACAAGCTGTCTAACAAGCCACAACACATTTCCATAAACTTACCACTTGCACAACGAAGTTCAGCACAGAGTAATGGGGTGGAATATGGTGTGTTTGGCCCAGGAGAGGAATAAACACAGGAGAGGGAGAAAGGGAACAAAGATTATAATCAGTATGTAGATCCCATCTTGGTCTTGCTGCATGGATGGTCCAGAGCTGGGGTTGTGAGACAAAGAAAATGAAAAAAAAAGGAGGGAAAAGACACTGAGTGGGTCCAATCCACTTTATTTTCTAGTTAACCTGGTACAAGCCTTTTTTGTAAACTTAACTCTTTGTGCTGTTTTGTTCATGCATGCACAGCCAGTCGTTTCAGCCCTCCTGCAGGAAGTGTGTTGGAGGAGGGAATGGAGCATGAAACTCAGGGGGGAGCAGGAAATTGGCTAAGAATGCACTGCCCACCCTCCATGGGACTCTCTCCTACAATCACATCTTTCCAGTTGTAAATCAGAATGATTGAGACAAAACTTGCCTATGCGTGGTCCATTACAGCCATCAGGAATGGTGACTGCAGAAGCCCGAAAGTTTTGTGAGCAGCAGGAGCCCCAGGAAACCCAGCAGGCAGGGGAGTGGATCTGGCCTAGAAAGCTACCAAGTTGTGAAATACAAAGTTGTGTTTCATGTCAGGTAAATAAAGGTAACCTGTGTAATTTTAATTGTGAAATGTGTGGAACACGGCCATGGGACAGTTATAAAGATGAGTTCTAATAAACAACCGAGGAAAGTGTGGAAGAAGACTTTTGGACCAATGTTTTGTTTGCAATTAATGATTATAAGTCTTAGCTGTTTTGTAGTAAGAGTATTTGAATTATAACTTTAGAATGTTGCCTTTTGATAAGAACTTTTTTCTTGTAATGAAGTCTTAAGCTGTTTTGTAATAAGAGTATTTGAATTATAACTTTAGAATGTTGCTTTGTATTAAGGATTTTAAACTGTAGCTTTAGAATGCATAAAGGATTTAAACAAAAGAGGGAAATTAACCTATTCCCAAGCTCCTAGCAAAACAGTGAAAATATCCTGGAAAAGGAAGATGGACATCAACGTCGCTGATTAGTGATTTTGAAAAGGGAAGCTGGACATCACTATCCCAGAATAATGGTCCTAGAAGCTGGACCCCACATCAGGAAGATGGACCCCACTATCTGGGACACACATCATGGAATATACATCCTAGGATGCTGAAAACTAGAATAGATCACAATATAGTATAGAAATTGGAAATGAACCAATCTATGATCTATCACCATCATAGATTTATGATCCTGAAGTATAGAATTGTGACATCAAAAATTTGAAATAGAAACTGCTGAGAAAAGCTTATGAATATGCATGAACATGATCAACATGATCAATAAATACCAGCCAGCCCAGCAATCAGTGTGCAGTTGGAGGGGAAAACTCCCACCACTGTACCCAGCACTGTCTTTGCTCATATGTCACCATATTAATAAATAAATTGAATTGCTGCTTGATCTATTGGCTGAGTCAAGCTTCTCATTTCTAACAAATTAGCAAATCCAGCTGCTCTTCCAGAAATCTCCCCCTGGAGCATCCCTGAAGAAAGGGCAGCTCTGGCCAGGAGGCTGCATATTTTTATTCTGGATACTCATAGCACCTACAACTTTGCTTTAAATCATCCTTGTGTCCTTGTCAGTCAATTTGGAACACCAGAACAGCTTCACAGGCTCTCAAGTGTCAGGATTGCCTCTACCATGTGGCCACACCACATGCACAGTTACCTCATGACGCGTTCCTGAGGCTGATAGTCACCTTTCCTGTGTCCTGTGGCCAGCGGTTCTCCAGAAAAGGAAAAGGGCAGATTTTAATCAATTTCTTTTGGATTCACATCATGGTCAAAGCAGAACTGGCCGTTTATCTTGGAAAGCACAAAGCAAAACACAGGGCACAGGAAAGGTGACTATCAGTCTCAGGAACGCGTCATGAGGTAACTGATTCCACTCACTTTCCAGTTAGTGATGACGTAACCTCTCAGGTCCTCAAGCTGAGGTGGTGACTGAGGCACAAATCACAGCTCTGGCAGAGAGTGCTCCACTTTTATTACAGACATATCCTGGTACCAAGTGGTGACTCCTTCCTGTCAGAGTGTCCCACCAGAAGCCTTACCAGGTCGGCCAAATTCTGCACAGGGCAGAAAGCCCTCAGGTGACCTCATACATGGAGATTCTCAGAGCTGGAGTTCAATTGCCAACCTTGCACAGGGAGGAGCGGCAGAGGGATGGAGGCCACAGCTGGACTCCGGGCGCTGCCACAGCAGGGAATCCATCGCCAGCAGCGGCTCTGAGGCCTGCTGTTGCTCAGAGCTGTGGGAGAAGCGAGAAGCCCCTACACACCTGTGCCAGACTGTCCAGGGGACAGCAGTCTGTGGAGTCGAGACAAGGCTCCGTTCTGACCATGATGAGCTGGTGATGAGCTACTCCCCGAGCTGAGCCCAGCCAAGCCCAGCCGAGCCGCTCGGTGCCGTCGTGCAGCGCTCCGGGCAGTCTGGGAGGCTCCCGCTGCCCGGGGACAGCGCTGGCTCCTGTCCCCGGGACACGGGAGCTCCCGGCAGCATGGACCGTCCGCTGCACTTGCATCCCTGTGATTGCTGTGTGGGAGCCCAGCAGCTCTGCGTTCTTCCAGGGAACGGCATCCAACCATGCTGTTGAGTCAGAGGTAAAGGCCCTCCTTTGAGAAAAGGGGCTTGGAGCAAAAACCTTCCAAGCTAATCCAGTTACTTTGTGAAGAAGCTGTTTGGAAACACAGACCCTACCTGGTGGATTGTCAGAGTTGCAGAGAGATGAGCAAATCTGTGCCTACGAGCACCCAAATCTCTGCAAGCTGGATAGTTTTTCTTTCCACATAGGTTTCTCACTGCCACTGCTTTGAATCTTCCAGCCATACACTTCCTGCGTGTCCTTTGTTCTCTAATTGCCACACCAAATGCATTGTCCTGCTGTATATCCTCCACCAGCCCAGCAGCTGGAAAAGCAGGGTGGACTGTGGAAGCAGGCCATGAGGGGACTCCACAGTCTGCCCCCAGCAGCCTCAGGACAATGGACAGACTGCACTTTGCCAGAACTACTCAGGGTGAGGTGAAGACATCTGCTCTGTGCACCTAGTAGACTCCTACAAAGGTATCCTCCAAACAGACCTAAACAAACCTCTTCTCCCACACAAAGATGTGGAGTACAATGAGAAATTTGGAGGGTAGGCTGGGTTTGTCATCAGTTACCTTCTAGCACACCAACCCTCTGTCCTCCTCTCCTTGTCTTACAGGGTGTTCTTTTCACCTCATATCAACTGTGGGCAGGGCTTTGGTCACCCACTTGGTTTTATTGAAGTCTATTGCAAGTTTTCTTGCCAAATCTGTGCTATCACTGCTGCTCAGTGCAGAACAATATAGGTGGGAAGGGACCTTCAGAGGTTTCCAGAACAGCCTCCCACTCCAAACAGATTCCATTACGAGTGGTTGTTCAGGTTCTCCTCTACTTGAGCTTCTAGTGTCTCCAGGGATGGAAATCCCACAGGCTCTCTGGGCTCTGTTCCAGCACCTGAGCCATCTCATGGTAGTTTTTCTCTCTTGTGTACCCAGCTGGAATTCCCTATGTTCTATTGTGTGTGCCCATCAACGCTTGTCCTATCACCATGCACCTCTAAGGACCAGCACTGTCCCCTTGGCATCTTCTCATTAGGCAGGTGCTTCTTAAGGCAGCAACTGGGATCCTCAAAGCCTTTGATATTCCAGCATGAACAAACCCAGTTCCCCCACCCCTCATGCATCCCTTACTTCCAGCCCCAGCAATCCTGGTGGCCTGCAATTGATTTACTTCCGTGTGTCAGTGACATTTTTAATGTATTTACCTGGAGTGCCAGCCTGGACATAGCACCACAGAAGTTTCCTCAGGATGGAGCAGGGTTTGTGGAGTTCCACATTCACTTGCCTCCTGTTTCTGCTTGCACTCTACAGTGGTTTTGGATAATAAAGTGCAAGTTGTTGTTCCAGAAGCTTAAGAACTTCCCATTGCCTGTAGCTCAACATAAAAAACCTTTTTTTCCCAACTGAGGATGCTATTTGGGATCAACAGACATTTCCTGAGAGCCAAGTGGGGTCCAGATGCTTCTTGGGAGCACTGAAGTAGTGCAAGTATCATCTGAACTGAGCCGCCCAGGCTGAACTGCTGTCAGAGCTGGTGAGCACTGACTGCCTTGTGGTGCATTCCAGAGCTCGTCATTTTAGTGAGAGGGATGTCCTTTACAGAGTAGAGGGATATTCCGGCTTCCTGTTCCAAGAAGGCAGAACAGTGTGTGCTCTTGTTGCTGTTTACATTTTTATTTGGTTAATCAGAAGCTTCTTCTTTTGTACCAAAACTTTTGTGTTTGACACAAGAGAACATACTGGAATGCTATTTTTCCAACAAACATCACTACTGGGCTTCAGTGGGATAAAGAATGTTGCTTTTTAAGATCACTGCTCAGCTGGGTCACTGATCATTGGAGCTTTCCAGTTATGTCATTTTTAGGAGTAAAACATGGCTGCAGGAAGACTCAGAACAACTCTCTGAGATGGTATTCCCTCTAAAAACCCCAGAGGAGACTACTGCTGCTGCTGTTGCATTTCTACAGCCCTCCAGGAATCACTGTGTGCATAGTAAACATATGAAAAAAATCTCTGGGAATCTTTGAATGAAGGGTAACTAAACCAAGGACAGGCAAACCTGACATCATTGCAATTTGGGAGAAGGTGTTATGTGCAATATGGATAATTCGTGCCTATAAAGATATATATATATATAGATATGTTATATTGCCAAGGAATATTTGTATAAAGTTTTAAGCTTGCAAGACAGAGCCAAGGGATTGCCTCACATATGTCGAAACCACCACTGAAAAGAGGGAGGAGGACTTCATTTGCAAAAGCATAAAGGTATCTGCCTGGAGATGAGTCGTTCCCCAAGGTGATCTAAGGAACTCCTAAGTGATGATTGACTCAATAAATATCTAAGATTGAGATCGCTGGAGCCACTGGAAAGATACATCTCAATGCCAAGTTCCAGTAACTCAATCATGGACATACATTGCTTTCTGGACACAGTTTTGTTCAACTCAACATAGAGAAAAGGAACTCCATGAATAAGTGGAACACTGAGTAGAAGAATAGCCTGATTGCAGAAAAGTGCCTCAGGCAAAATAAACTGTATAAAAACCACTTGAACGGGAAGGTTGGTGTGAAACATTGGAGACCCTATGCTGTAGCGGTTGGACCTGTATCTCACCCAGTGCTGATTCCAGGCTCAGCACTGTCTTTTTTATTGTGGCCGGCTCAGATTGAATTTTGATCACTGAATAAAACTTATTTTTATTAATTTTTAATTTGGCTGCGTCATTTTTACCTGTAACAAAGGGATGAGCTACCAGGGCCACTGTCAAGGGACTGTCATTAGGCACCAAAGTTAGTGTCGACTTGAGACGCTTTGTATGCTGTGGCAAGACTTGTCACAAGTTAAAGGCCAGCTTCTCTGAAGCTCTAGGCTCCCTCTGGAGCCCTCACTTGTTTTAAAATTTTAAAAGATTAATAGTAATAAAATGGTCATAAAAATAGTAATACAAATTAAAACAATAAGAGTTTGGACAATCAGAGTTAGGACAATAAAGGACAATAATGGAAAAAATTATGAACACTGGGATGCTTTCCTCAAAAAAAGCATGGCTTGCTAACAAAGGATTAACACTTAAAAGCAATAACCTTTTGCATATTCATATATGTCATACATGATGCATACATTCCTTTCAAATAAGGGATTTCTCTGGTTATTGTCAACTTTCCTCCTGTTAGTGCCTCAAAGACAAGAAGGAGGTAGAATAAAGTTTGTCTTTTCCGATAAGGAGGCCTCTTGGGGATTTTGGTGTCTTGTTGCTATTACCTCTCTGCAAAGAATTTCTTGATTATGTTATGTGTAATGAATATAATTCGCACTGGTATAATATGATGTATGTAATATTTGATATTACTGGGAGGATGCACAAATTGGCACTGGGAGTTGCCCCACATATTCGAAAACCGGTCTGACAAAACCTAATTTGCAAGCTAATACATGTGGCTTGTCCAGAGATGGGTTGTTTCTCGAGGTGATACAGGAACTCCTGGGCTATGATCATCCCAGCAACGACTGGAGATTGGGATCGCTGGAACCGTCCAGGCTGATACATCTGAATGCCGTGTTCCAGTAACTACATCAGGGAGATTCATCACTTCCCAGACACTGAATTGTACCAACCCAACACAGAGAAAAGAGACTTTATGAATATGTGGGACTTTGAATAGAAAGAAAAGGCTGATCACCAAAATCCCGGCCTCAGGTGAAATATTCCTTATAAAAACTGCTTGTACTGGGAGGGTGGTGTGTGGGTACAGGGGGAACCCTCTGCCGAGGCTATCCACTCTGTGATGCACCCAGCGCCTATCCCGGGCTCAGCAC